TTTGATCATAGATTTCCTGACCTTTGTACAAGTCGCGAATGATTTTGTATGATTTTGTATGTAGCTTGCACAAATCCAAAATGTGTTTGGTTTTTGGTTTCATATCTTTTATAACCTGATTGTTGTGTTGTGGCGCTCACGCCGGGCCAACATTAGTGCGCACGCAGTGAGTGAGTGATTCTAATTATTTGAATGGACAATGATGCACAACGGTACTCGTCTACAACTCATAGAATGTTATATATAGATTGGGCATGTTGTGATGAAACAATTTATGTAATTGTATATTCAATGTCATTCAATCATTTTGACTATTTCGCAACATTCAGCTTCCAGACTACTTCGCAACATTCAGCTTCCAAACATAGACAAATTTACTTGCAGGAAGCTTTTGTCTCTTGTCTTCATACTTTGTATGTAGTCATGAATCAAATTATATTGGAATTGTGCATCCGTCAGCTAGTAGATTAGTAGATTTTTCAAGTCGAGCTGGCTGGACTGCAGTTGTGTATCCAACCAATGCAACAGCATGCCCCAGACCAATGATGCGCAGATCTAGTGCACAGCACGGCAAGCTTCAAAAGTCGTGGCCGCTTCCGTGGCATCAAGGCATTTCTGTCGCTTGAGTGTGTATGTCCAACTTGACACATGTATCCAAACCTTTTTCCTGTGCAGCAGGCCTGGGTGCTGGAGGAACAGATGCCATAGGCCTGGTTCTAAGGGGCGACCACTCGCTTGCACACCCCGATTCTCACTCGCTTGTACACCCACTATTTCCCTCGCTTGTACGCCCATGAAAATCATGATCATGATCATGGGGATCATCATCATCATCACCACCATCATCATCATCACCGGTATTTGATCATGAAAGAGCAGTGCCTGTGTCTGCAGGACAGCAAGAAAGATGATGAGGTTGCGGTGCCTGTGTGTGCACAGGAACATGAGCGTTATGGTCCCACCCCACCCCACCCCACCGGTATTTGATCATGAAAGAGCAGTGCCTGTGTCTGCAGGACAGCAAGAAAGATGATGAGGTTGCGGTGCCTGTGTGTGCACAGGAACATGAGCGTTATGGTCCCACCCCACCCCGCCCCACCCCACCGGTAACTGATCATGAAAGAGCAGTGCCTGTGTCTGTACGAGAGCAGGAAAGATGATGAGGTTGCGGTGCCTGTGTGTGCACAGGAACATGAGCGTTATGGTCCCACCCCACCCCACCGCACCCCACAGCCAACAATGATGAAAGTGCAGTGGCTTTTTCCAGAATGAGAGATGATGAGGGTGCGCAAGTGAGTGACATTTTGCTCACTGGGTGCGCAAGTGAGTGAGCGTGCGCAAGTGAGTGAAATTTCGGGTGCGCAAGTGAGGGTCTGGCCTTAAGGAGTGTGGAGTGTAAAGTGTGGAGTGTAAAGTGTGGAGTGTAGAGTGTGGAGTGTGGAGTGTAGAGTGTGGAGTGTGGAGTGTAGAGTGTGGAGTGTGGAGTGAGGAGTGTACAGTGTAAAGTGTAAAGTGTGGAGTGTCGAGTGTGGAGTGTAAAGTGTGGAGTCTAAAGTGTAGAGTGTGGAGTGTAAAGTGGGAAGTGTGGAGTGTGGAGTGCAAAGTGTGGAGTGAGGAGTGTAAAATGTAAAGTGTGGAGTGAGGAGTGAAAAATGTAAAGTGTAGAGTGTGGAGTGTAAAATGTGGAGTGGGGAGTGTAGAGTGTGTAAAATGTAGAGTGTGGAGTGTGGAGTGTAGAGTGTAAAGTGTCGAGTGTCAAGTGTAGAGTGTGGAGTGTAGAGTGTCGAGTGTGGAGTGTGCAGTGGAAAGTGTAGAGTGTGGAGGGTGGAGTGTAAAGTCACGAGTGTGGACTGTAAAGTGTGGAGTGGGGAGTGTAGAGTGTGTAAAGTGTAGAGTGTGGAGTGTGGAGTGTGGAGTGTAGAGTGTAAAGTGTAGAGTGTAAAGTGTAGTGTGTGGAGTGTGGAGTGTAAAGTGTCGAGTGTGGAGTGTGAAGTGGGGAGTGTGGAGTGCGGAGTGTAAAGTAAGGAGTGTGGAGTGTAAAGTGTGGAGTGTGGAGTGTGGAGTGTAAAGTGTGGAGTGTGGAGTGTGGAGTGAGGAGTGTGGTGTGTGTAGAGTGTAGAGTGTAGAGTGTGGTGGAGTGTGGCGTGTGGAGTGTAAAGTGTAGAGTGTGCAGTGTGGAGTGTAAAGTGTCGAGTGTGGAGTGAGGAGTGTAAAGTGGAAAGCGTGGAGTGTAAAGTGGAAAGGGTGGAGTGTAAAGTGTAACGTGCAGGGTGTAAAGTGTAGAGTGTGGAGTGTGGAGTGTAAAGCGTGGAGTGTGGAGTGTAAAGCGTAGAGTGAGGAATGTAAAGTGCAAAGTGTAAAGTGTAAAGTGTGGAGTGAGGAGTTTGGAGTGTGGAGTGTAAAGTGTAGAGTCTAGAGTGTGGAGAGTGGAGTGGGAAGTGGAGTGTGGAGTGTAAAGTGTGGAGTGAGGAGTGTAAAGTGTAAAGTGTGGAGTGTGGAGTGTAAAGTGTAGAGTGTGGAGTGTGGAATGAGGAGTGTAAAGTGTAAAGTGTGGAGTGTAAAATGTCAAGTGTGGAGTGTAGAGTGTAGAGTGTAAAGTGTCCAGTGTAAAGTGTAGAGTGTGGAGTGTGGAGTGTAAAGTGTGGAGTGAGGGGTGTGGAGTGTGTAAAGTGTAGAGTGTGGTGGAGTGTGGAGTGTGGAGTGAGGAGTGTAAAGTGTAGAGTGTGGAGTGTAAAATGTAAAGTGTGGAGTGTAGAGTGTAGAGAGTAAAGTGTAGAGTGTAAAGTGTAGAGTGTGGAGTGTGGAGTGTAAAGTGTGGTAGTCCAAGAATGTGAATACATTCGGGTTCGTGGCTTCCATCTTGTTTATTGAGGTGACGCAGGATATTTGTTTACGCATGAATTGTTTGTCGTTTTGGGAGTTCTTTGGAGTGAGGTCTTTGAATCTTTCGCCGAGCCTGACCTCTTTGGGGAAAAGACTAACTATGCAAAACAGTAATTTGAGTAAATCAACTAACTACATGGGCCATGGCTTTAGTCAAATCAGCAAATTACCAGTGGATATTTTGGAAGGACACGCCTCTCCCATGGTGCTTTTCCAGGTTGAACGGTTAAACAGTCTTTTCCCAGCCCACTCTGAGCGCATTATGGAATGCAGGGACGCATATCCGTAACAGCTATATAGCCAAATTTTGGTGCGAAACCAAAAGGACCAAGGTGAAGTGACATCAAACCAAAATCAAACGGGGTACAAGGTAAGCTACCAGTTTGCACAAATCACCATTCCATGTTGGAGTCGACTGCATTTTTGGTTCACAAGTTGATCAACATACGATTTGAAAAATGCCACTAATAGAATTAGCCTAGTATCAACATGAGTGGTAAATCCAAGACATACAGTTTTTATACGTTTTTACGCGTTTTTATTCGTATATCAACTTTATCCCATTCTCGCCGAATCTCAGTAACAAAATAGTTCAAAAACTATTTAAATTCACCGCAAATCAGCATAAATCAGCACAAATCACCATAAAATCACTTAATCTCAACCAATCCACATATTTTTTTTGCCCGGATTTCCTTTTTTTTGTGGTTCAGGCGTTTGGCAACTGGGAGGCTGACGGTGGACAGCGGGACCTTCCAGGAACAGTTGTTGAACTGTGGAAAAGCCTGGGTTTCTCTTGGAACATGACCGACATTAATGAAAAGTTATGGAAAAGCAGCCAACGTTTGGATTCAAACTGAATAGGGGTATAGGGGATTGAACCAAGAAGCTGGTGAGTCTACCAAGAAACATTTTGGGTCCCGAATTTTGAGGCGGCAGTCTTTCATTCCCCATGGTCTGTGTTTCCCATGATATGCCCCCACTGTACATCCACGTTTGCCAACGATCCCCCACTGGCTATGGGTCAAAACCCTGGTACTACCAGTGAACCCCAAGTCATAGCTGGCAATTTGATGTTCATCTCACTAAAATTGATACACTCTGGTAAATAAACATAGACCCTGAAAATCACCATTTTTTGATGGAAACTAGTCTTCCAACCCCTTATCTGCCAGGGTCTACGTTAATTTTCCAGAGGGTACTAGGTTTTGACCCCAAAAGGATGGTTGAACCCATTGAAACACGAAAAAAAATTATGGGATGTTGACCAGCGTTTTCTGCAGGATTTCGCAGTGGGCCCATCCCATGGTTTTCGCATTCGGCCAGGTCGTCATCTCTCTGCTGCTGCTGTTCAGCGGCCTGCTAGGCCTGGCGCTGGCCAGATTCGAGCTGGCCAAGGGGTGCTCCCTCACAATGCACTTGGGACCTTTTTTTTTGAGGAAAAGATCATAAAATAACTGGGAACATCAGCGAATACGTTTTTTGGAGTTTTTTGGTGTGAAAAATAACAAAATCATTGGAAAATGGAGGGATTTTTGTAAGACATAGATGAACTCATGGCTATTTCTTTGGGTTTCCACTGTTAGATGTCAGGTCAGGATTGAAGGATCTGAAGGACCAGAAGTCAATCAAAAATCCTGGGGGTTTGACCATCAAGAATCGGGATGTCCACCGAAAAATGGGAATATCATCCAAACATGATGGTTGGCTGATGGCTAGCAAAAAAAATTATTTGAATCGGTGGAAAATGGAGAGGACTAAGCGGAAAGTCTACCAAAAGGTTTGTTGATTTCCATAGCTATCTTGGTTTCCTACGTATCGTGGAGGATTCCCCGATGAACCTGGTCACTTCGTGCGTTTCCGCGGATGTTGGCTCGGGTGAACTTACAGGTGCCAGACTTGGTGCCGAAGCTGAAAAAAATGCGACATGAGGAAGTCGATCTGAGGAATTTTCGGATCCAAAATGATCCAAATTCCTTCAAAGTCACCAAGCTGCATGTCACTGCTAAAACATATGAAGTTTATGAAATCATGAAGAACTTGAAATGCATTTTGACATATTTTGACTATGATTGTGGGTTTTTCCAAGCTCTTGCGGTTTCCCGGCGTTTTCCGGACCGGAACCACCGCGAGTTTGAGCTTTGGGCGCGTGAACGCCGCGTCCGTTTTGCCAACCATGTTTGACGCGTGGGGCAGCCGCCTTAAGACGTTGCTGGCTGCGGTTCCTGTGGCGGCCAGGGTGCCTAAAACTCGCTTCTCTCCGGGGGAGTTGGGGTAATCCTCAAAGAGATCTATAAATCGTTATTGAAACAAGGGGAATGTGTGTCTACCCAATATCAGATTGACGTCTGATGAATGGCGAATACGGTTGACTCAATGTTTTTCGTTGACAATGGTCAACTTGGAGAAGTGGGGTTTACTGCTAGTCATTGGGCTAAACACACAATATGCCCCAACCTTTGGGACTTCGAAAGAGCGAGCCGGCGCGGATGAGGCCATCGTCGCCTATTTCTTTGTATCCAGGTGCTCCGCTGGCTGCCGTGAGTCCACATCCTCTATGATCTACCCTCTGGTTATGTCAAAATAGCTATTGAAAATGGCCATTTATAGTGGATTTACCCATGAAAAATAGGGATTGTCCATAGCTATGTTAGTTTACCAAAGGGTATTTGATTAGAAGATTGGATTTACCCATATTCGCTGCAACCCGACCTTGGCACGCCACGGAATGTGGAGGGGTTGCTTATCTGAAAAGCTATTGCCGGTGATTTCGAAATGTATGTGTACCGCGTGATCATCTTGAGCAATGTTGAAGTAGTATGAAGTGTGTATATAAATTAACAAAATAATAATATATATATATTTACACAATACATATAATTCCCTATATATATGATATATTATATCACACATGTAACTTATATATATATACACATGTATACTTATATATATATACATATATATATATATATGTATATATGTATATATGTATATATGTATATATGTATATATGTATATATATGTATATATGTATGTATGTATATATGTATATATGTATATATGTATATATGTATATATGTATATATGTATATATGTATATATGTATATATGTATATATGTATATATGTATATATGTATATATGTATATATGTATGAGAGGCCAGCGCTCTCAGCGCCCACAAATCTCGTAAAAAATGCTATGTTTTGAGCATTTTCTGACATGTGTGTCCAAGTCTGTAAGCAATATGTACTGTTGCCTTTTCCAGCCACCAAATAGCGCCAATATCATCGTCATTGTTCGTCATGGCCATGCAAGCTGAAAACATGGATTACGACAAATTGAAGGAACTTGTGGACTCCCTTTCATGCAGATCCATCTCACCCTTGGTTCTTCCAGAATTGCCTCTTGGATCCTTCACTCTCATGACCTTCCCCATGACTAAAGTGGAAGGCACAGAGAACCCCGGCGTCCACTACTTTGATTTGATTGTCGATCATGCAGATGACATCGACTTCTTTGGCCTCTCCTCTTCCTACAAACTGGCGTGTGAGAAGAAAGATCTTGCACTTCTTCCTGCACCCTTTGGTCTCAAGGCTGCATGCCCAAAGGAGACAACCATCCAGATAGCCATCCTGAAGCAGCCAGATGGAAAGAAGGCTATCTTGAAGCATGTGTCCTTCCCTGACAAGGTGAAAGTGTCCTTTGTCCAGCAAATCTGCTTCGGATCTCCCTACCGGCCCTTGTTCATGAAGAGCAACCCCAAGGTTGGAAGGAAGATCTTGCAGTACTGCTTTGAAAATCTGGGAGGCCATGCCTTCAGGTGCTTTGATCTCTCCTCACAAGCTACCCGTAGGGGCCAGTCGAAAACGAGCATGCCTTTCGAAGACAAGGAGGACGTCGAAATCGATGAAGGGTTCGACTACATTTTGCGCACTGCTCCAAGATCTTCTTGCGAAATGGCGCAGCTGCGGTGGCAAACCAAGGAACTGAGAAACAAGTCCTCTCCAATCTTCGGCTGGCCAGGTGCCTTGATCAGCCAAGCTCTCAGGAACTTGTCCTCTGATGGCGCCCTGGCAAAGAAGGAACCACATTGGCCAATTCCCTTGTCACCCCTGTTCTATGATCGTGCCATCCTCACCACCCTGGAGAAGATTTGGGACTTTGATCAGTCTGCTTTGATTCTCTTGGGCGAGCCTGGCACTGGCAAGAGCCCTCTCGGCCGCAGCGTCCTCATGGCGCAAGTCAGGCACAACCAAGCCAGGTTCAACCTTGATGGTCATCCCTGTGTGCGTTGCACACCAGAACTCGACTTCCTGAGAGGTGAGCCTGGTTGTGTCTTGATGGGCGACTTCTTGGATGATACATCCCTCAGCATCCTTGACATGAAGCTTGTGAAGGCATTCCTTGATGTGGGTTTGTACGAGAGCATGGCATGGGCTCGCTGGGGGGCAAGCAAGTGGGTGCAAAACCAGCCCAGAGCTGTCGCTGACAACACCTACGATGCTGACCTCGATCTCCCGGATCATTTTCTTGATCACATCACTTTTGAGACCTTCTACAAGCTGGTTCGTCCTGCCTTCAAGGAATCTGCTTCCAGAGCTCACATGGACGCTGTCTTCAAGAGAGCAGCTTTCATTGTGAACACCAAGGATCACATCTACTACCGCCCAGCCGGCATCAATCTGAACCCTGTGCATCGCATCCCTATCCTTCCTGAAGGCTTCCTCACAGAGGCAGGCCGCCAGGTCTACGGAAACTACAAGAGCGGAAACAAGGACATGCCGGAAAAATTTGAGGAGGAACTCTAGAAAGAGCAGGCATGGGTGTCCATGCTCATGAAGCAGAAGATGGACCAAAGGAAGGTCAACCAAGCAGATGAAGAAAATCGTCGTCGTCTTCGTGCAGCATTGTTTGCAGAAAGGCCCCCTCCTCCCAATAGTGCCCTGGACATCTTGGAGAACCAGCGGGCTGATCAAGTCACCATCAAAAGGGAATTGGCTGAAAAAAACAATGAGGTTGTCTTCAAGAAAGCCAAGGTCTGGAGCCAATTGGTAGCGCAGCAGCCTGGAGCCTGCATTGATCTGGATGACAGTGACAAAGAAAATGAAGCAACGTCTGTCCCCGAGGCAATTCCAAATCCTGAATGGGATGTGGCTGAAGATGATGAAGAAGGTGTAGGTCATGGGTTTGGCATCGACTACGAAGACTGAAGGGCAATTGTCACCCATAGGTCCTGAGTCCTGGCATAGTTGGTGTCCACAAGGTTGTATGATAAAACTGTGTTAGGTTTTCATCTGATAATCATAGGTAGGTCCATGCACGTGGTAACTTCAATAATTACAATGGAAATAAAATTGACAAACCTATTATAATTCAGCATGAAATATGTAGAGATTATAGTTAAATAGGGTATAAGTATCTCATATGTGTATGTTTGGTGGTATAGTGCTTTAATTATGTATAGACTTAGTCGTTGGAATATATTTTTTTCTTATGGAAAATATGTGGAAACCCAACATCTTGGCCGATTTTGACTGCTGGCTGCTTGGAACAAGCCTGGCCCATGATGGATGTACAATATCTTGGTGCAAATAGGAAACACAATGGGCCTGCGTCTGGTGGAAAAATGATGCATTCTGTGCATTTTTGCGTGTGCAAGTCAAGTCTCCACTTCCAAAGTGTCTGCAGCAATCATGGAAAAAAACCTATTGCCTGTCTCATTTTTTTGGCACATCTAATTGGCTCAAGTTATCTTCTGATTTTTCTGGAGTGCATCAAAAGGGTTTGAATCTCACCAGCTAACATGAAAAGACCTGCTGCCAAGAACTATGTCATGGTGAACTGTCCTCCTCCTGCTCAACTACCTCCTCTGACTGAATGCTCTGTTTGCAAGAGCAAGGATTTGGTGGTGAGAGATGATGAGCAACCATCTGATTGCACCATAGTGGGCTCTGAATCCTTCGAACCCATGAAGACCTTGCGCAAAATCTGCTACCACAAAGATTGCAGAACCACTCATCGAGGAAATTTTGCATACCAAGATGGCGCCAAAGTCAACACATTGACCTTCAATGAATTGGAGAAAAGTGGCATCTACCTCGTCACCACCAATTTTGGCTTCACCATGAAGTATCTGAAGCTGACTTTGTGCAGATTCCTGCGGGGAAACCTAGCCCCTGGCCAGGAAACTTCTGTCAGAGGCATTGTCGCTGAAGATACTGACCGCTCCATTCATCCACAGAGGTTCCAAGCACATCTCATGCATGCTCTAGAAGGGTATGCATTGGCCCAAAGGACTCCTGATGAGGTGGTGCCATTTCCATTGGATCGACCTTCTTCGTACTTGAAGTTCTCCCATGCTGCATTTACCTTCCCACCACCACAGTGCATCAAAGCCTTGTCCTTTGATGGTCACTTTGGGGCGCATCGCAAACTGCACCCAGACCATGAGGCACCTCGAACTGTTGCAACTCGGGGACGCCCCAAGAAAAAGTACCACCAAGACCAGCGCACATGCACCTGTGCAGACAAAGAACGGGAACGGGCAACACTCAAGAACAGAACGGCCGGATGGCAATTTGTGATTGACCCCCATTCCAGGCATGTGGTGGCAGCAATGGAGCACACAGTCAACGAATCCACGAAGGAAAAGGTCCAACTCATCATGCAGACCATGCAGCTGAAGAAGGTGAACCCGAACCTCCTCATTCATGATGATGCATGCCACTTCGAGCAGCAGATCCTGAAATCCAAGCAGTTGAAGAAGACTTTCAAACCTATTCGCCATTATGTAGTGGATGAATTCCACAGAGTGAACCACAAATGCTCCAAGAAAAAACTCACAAGAAATGAAAAGAAACGATTGGCCAAGGTCCGCACCAATATGTCTGAAGTCTTCAATGCATGGATTCGGAAGAAAATTTTTTCCCTCAACGCGATGAACCCTTACAGTCACCGCTTCTGGGTGCAGGAGAGCATCCGATTTTGGAACCAAAATTTGGAGACCATGCCGAAGTACATCACCCGAAGGTCCACTGCTACCACCCGTAAGCGTAAAGCTATGAAGTGAGCCACCGTAGTGCCATGACAATGTAAAGGTAGCTAGCAACAACGCTGGCTTCATGCCACGGCAGTGGGAAGGAGAGACCGGCAGCAATGGAGAAAACATTTTCAAGGTAAAACCACCCCTATAGACAGGCGGTACAATAAGCAAAACCACCAAAAAAACAAAAAAAAACAAAAAAACCAAAAAAACAAAGATCCAGCAACTATGAGCCCCCCAACCTTTCTCTGGAATCTTTTTTTTTTGTTTTTTTTTTGTTTTTTTTTTCGGTTTTCAGTTATGGAGTTTAATGTGTAAGGAATTTTGTTCTTGGGGTTTGCCTGTGGGAGATGCACTGTTGAAGTGACGAGTGCAGCCATATTTTTTCTGGATGGGTAGATTCATGGAGAAAAGTGGCAAAAGGAGACTGCCCAAAACGTGGGCGCTCACAACGCTGCTTTCAGATATGTATATATGTATATATGTATGTATATATATATAGATGTATATATGCATATATATATATATTATGTATATGTATATGTATATATATATATAGATGCATATATGCATATATATATATATATCTTTTATGTATATGTATATGTATATATATATGTATATGTATCTATGTATCTATGTATCTATGTATATATGTATATAATATATGTATATATGTATATATGTATATATGTATATATGTATATATGTATATATGTATATATGTATCTATGTATCTATGTATATGTATATATGTATCAATGTATATATGTTTTTATGTATGCACATATATATATATGTATATATCTATATATGTAGATATGTATATGTATATATGTAGAAATGTATATATGTAGATATGTATATATGTATATATGTATACATATATATATATATTTATATACATATGTATATTGAGCTCTTTGTACATGTCCATCTCGGATGTTGAAGATGTGTGAAAACCGTGCAATAGGTAGATTTTGTCTTAAATGGTCTCCAATCGTTGATGTCATTTTCCCATTCAACATATTGTTCAGAAGGGGTGGCGGACTTTGATTCCTCATGAAAATGCGTTGATGATGTTGATGTTATTACCTCAATCAACTATTGGTCAGATTTTTTTGTATGACAAAAGACAACAAAAACGATGTTCTTCTTGGTGGGCGAACGTCTGGCTTGGATGGATTATATGTAAACCCATTAGACTTCAATTAAATATCTTGTTTCTTACAGGATTAAATATAAATTAATATACGTATGTAAATCAATTAACTATAGTAAACTTAAAGGTTTCTTCAAGATTGGATAACGCCAGCTGGCCACATCACGTCAGGCGCCGCGCCTTGTGCGCAGGACGTCGGGGGCTCCAGCTGGATTGGAGTTTGGCGCAGCCGGTCATGGAAGTTTCGCAGATTTTGATGGTGAACAATGGTCAATCATGGTGATTCATGGTTGATGGTGAATAGAATTAACCATGGTTTACCCTCCAGTATGGTTATTAATGGCGATTAATGATGTTTTTTTTGCTGGTGATTTTCATGGCGATGAATGGAATTACCCTCCAGTACTCAACCATTGCTGGGAAATCGCTGAATTAAATGCAGGTTTCTAGCTGGAAAAACCTCTGAATTAGCCACGGGTCATTTTCCAGCCATGTTTGAGGACACCAGAGGGTATGTCAAGCTAATCCCATTTTTATATTCCACTAACAGTCCACTATATCCCCATTATGGTAATTATTATATCCCCATTTTCCTCCATGATTTTTCAATTTGTTCTTTATTGTATCCTCATTTTCTTCCAAGAACTCTCCAATAAAATCGTTTTTTATTGCCCCGAGGTGAGCCCGAGGTCGGTCAGGCACAGGCCGAGCGAGCCAACAGCTCAGTTTCCGAGGCGCACGGTGCTTCAAAGATGTTTAATGGTCCAAGTGTGATTGGGCACTGAGTTTTCGCAAATACACTACAGTTGACCTATTATATAGATCTGATTGGTGGACCTTCACTTTTTTTTTTTAAATAGTTCGTTTTGGGCAAAAACAGGACTATGGGGATGGGAAAGGACATGGACTCCCAACTGTATGGCGCTTCAATCATACTTCGTATTTCCCATGATATTCCATTTATGCCATTGCATTCTCATTATATACATTTATATACCCATTATTGTTGAGTAAATCCCCAGTAAAATCATATTCAACCAGCATTTTCATGGGGAAAAAACACAATTTTTACCATCAAAACACCATTTTTGATGCGCTTCCAACGTCCCGAACGTCCGCAGGCGCCTGTGGAAGAAGGGCAGGAGCGACGCCGTGAAGGCCGGGTGGGTCTGAGATAAAAAATAGAAGAGTTCTTAATCTTAGGATAAACATCGGGACTTTTTCACAACTTATGCCAAGAGGAATGGATAAAAATCGGAGAAAAATCCAGGACTTTTTTACATCTTTTACCAAGAAAAAGTGATTGAACAGGATTGAAGGAACCAAATTTCTTTGGGTCTTGCCAGACAAAAAAAAATAAAAAAGCTGATTTCGGCAGAGATGAATGAACCAGTCCTGCCTTGGCCGCAGGGTTCAAGGCTCCCAAAAAGTGTGAGGCCGGACAACGGGATGCTTGTCGTGGAAGATGAGTCACCGAGCAGTGAAAATTCAGATTTCTTTTTGACCGTTTCATGTATTTATACTCCTTTTTGAAGCCAGAGGGCTGATTTTTTTTGGACTTTAACACATTGTTGCAACGGGTTCAAACCACCTGTTTTTCTGGATATCGACATGACTTGTTCACTTAAATGTCCCCATGATAGTTGGCGCAAAATCTTGCGTTCGTGGGCTATTTTGACAATCGATATCTCAAGGTTCGCGTCAGGAGCTTGGTACTCCAAACACATCATTTTATTTTCTTGAACATTTCAATCTTTCCTGTCCCCAGATGTTGAATCCCATTTTTTTGTTTGGATACATGTATGTATGCTGTACATACATATATATATAGATATACATGCACAATATATATATATGTATATGTATATTGTATATGTATATGACTATGTATATGTATATGTTGATGTTGCAATATGTATATGTATATGTATATGGATATGTATATGTATATGTACATGTATATGCTGGCGGCTGGTTTACCGTACGTGCGTTTTTGTGTTTTTTTTGGCCGATGGGGTGGGGTGGGTTGGGGTGGGGTGGGGTGGGCTAATAACGTTCAATGGCACTAGCACACATATTTGATGCTACGCTAGCCACCTCGTCTCTTGCACTTGCACACATACCTGATGCTACGCTACCGACCTCGTCTCGTGCACTTGCAGACATACCTGATGCTACGCTACCGACCTCGTCTCGTGCACTTGCAGACATACCTGATGCTACGCTACCGACCTCGTCTCTTGCACTTGCACACATACCTGATGCTACGCTACAGATGGGTTGGGTTGGGTTGGGGTGGGGTGGGCTAATAACGTTCAATGGCACTAGCACACATACGTAATGCTACGCTACCTGTCTCTTCTCATGCACTTGCACACATAGCTGATGCTACGCTACCGACCTCGTCTCTTGCACTTGCACACATACCTGATGCTACGCTACCGACCTCGTCTCGTGCACTTGCACACATACCTGATGCTACGCTACCGACCTCGTCTCTTGCACTTGCACACATACCTGATGCTACGCTACCGACCTCGTCTCGTGCACTTGCACACATACCTGATGCTACGCTACCGACCTCGTCTCTTGCACTTGCACACATACCTGATGCTACGCTACCGACCTCGTCTCGTGCACTTGCAGACATACCTGATGCTACGCTACCGACCTCGTCTCTTGCACTTGCACACATACCTGATGCTACGCTACAGATGGGTTGGGTTGGGTTGGGGTGGGGTGGGCTAATAACGTTCAATGTCATTAGCACACATACGTGATGCTACGCTACCGGTCTCTTCTCTTGCACTTGCACACATAGCTGATGCTAGGCTACCGACCTCATCTCTTGCACTTGCACACATTCGTGATGCTACGCTACCCGTCTCTTCTCTTGCACTTCCACACATAGCTGCGGCAGAAAAAAACCGAAAAGTCCGAATTTTTTGTTCTCTCCCTGTGGCGAAACGTAAATCCATCAAAAAACAAGGCATCCTGAAACAGCCTCTTTCTACTCCTGGCGTTCACAAAAGCGTGCAAATACAAGTGAAAAATGCTGAAAAAATAAAACACAATGGAATTAGCCACATTTTCGGACCAAACATTATGATGATTGCTTCAAAAGTCCTGCAAATACCAAGAGATAAACATGAAGGTCATCATAAAAACTCTTAAGAAAATGCCAAAACACACGCGCGGTAAACCAGGCGCCGGGATGTATATGCATATGTATGTGTATATGTACATGTATATGTATATGTCTATGTATATGTGCATTTGTAGAGTTGCAACAATTTTTGATGTCAGCTGTACACGACATGATATGTACAATATGCGTATGTGTAAGATCATAATCCCTCCTTCCAATATTAAATACACCGCCCATCGAAACGATATACAACACCCCCCGACAAGATGGAAAAGTAAAATCCATTTCAACAAATGAACACCATTCGACTCCAATGGACATGTAAAATCCCACTTCTTTTTTTTTGAGAACCCTGGCATATACTAACATAGACATGGACAATTACCAATTTTAGTAGGTTATTCATCCATAAATAGGCCAGTTTCCACATCTATGTTTTCACAGGAGGAGAAGCTGCAACTCTCACGGCAGCCCCTGGGCAGCATTGATGTCAACGAAGGATCTGGTAGCCAGGAACTTTAAGCCAATCACCAAGGGTACACAAGGCATTCTTATAAAGCAATGATGAAGAAACCAATAATGTCACAACTGCGTTGTTGGTTTATCCCCAAGAAGGAAACCCACAGTTTCACACAGAAGATGCAGGTAGTGATCGACAGTTTTCTTGTGGGACTGGCTACAAGGCCTGTGACATTCTGGAAGCAAGTCACACATCTCAAGCATGCCGAGCGGCAGGCTCATCATCATCATCATCACCATCATCACCATCATCATCATCATCATTATCATCATCATCAGTGATTGCAAACTAATATGATAATGATACTAATGCGATGGAACTAGCAACGAACATGAACATAACTTTCAACTGTTCATACTAGATCATCACATGATCAAACATCATCGTCATAGGGTTTGATCAAACATCGTTGTGGTACTACATATGTTTATATGATAATCATCTAGTTCACTATATAAATAATCATAATAGTGATACTTATATGATGAATACTATATATATATAGATTAATAATGATATATATATATATATATATATCTAATTTCTCGTGGTTCAAACATGGTAAACATGACCATCACATGATCACCGTAACAATAACTGCACTGAGGCAACTGCATTGGAGCTACAGGTGGGATCCCTGAACCGCCTTCTGACGTGGGTATCCCCTTTTTTCGGAACAGGTAGGAGGTGAAAGATCTATGGTGATCATTGGCTTTGCTAATGGTTATTTAATGGTTAATGGTTAAGTAATGGTTAATGGTTAATTAATGGTTATTTCATGGTTATCTAATGGTTATTTCATGGTTAATTAATGGTTATTTAATTAATTGTTATTTAGCGGTTATTTAGTGGGATTTGGGATATTCATGGGGACATGATCAATGGGATGGGATATTTTTCTGCGGGGAAAACAGCACGTCATAAACTACCCATGACTGGGAATGGTAAGTTCATACCACCTATATATTTATGATGATGACTGGGGAATGGTTTATGGCATTGTTTTACCACGTTTTACCCACATTATTGGCTTTGCTATTATGTGATTTCTTGGCTGGGATGAATGGATGAATGTGACATTTATGGCGAAGTGAACACTTTCGATCATACCCTCACAGAAAATGATTTCAGAGATGGTCTACTATCGGCATTTGATGGGTTTCTGACATATTTGCATCCATTTACTTGAATTTAACCAAATGAACATGGCATATTCAGCTACTCCATATCGCTTTCGTTTTTTTGGCCCCAGTGGGGGTCCAACAGGAGGATTTAATCAACTACAGAAGGGATCGTTAGTTACCCATTTTTATGGGTAAATCAGAAACGAAGCAACTCACATATGCATCACTTTTTGCTGCTTATTTGGAAATCCTGAACAGAAATACATGAGGTGTGGTTTGAAAGTTTGTTGACCTCATTACGACATATTACAAGCAAATGGCATGCTTGTATACTCGCTTGTATTGGTATCATCAGGGATCCAAGCAACAACCAGGTCCACCTACACAAAATACAGAGGTTGTAAACGAAAACAAATCATGACGTTATCTTTTGATTTGGGGTTGACTGTAGTCTGTGGCGAAACTAGAATGATGATCTGGCAACACCCATGGATCATCATGGTAAAACCATGTATATAATTAGAAGTTGATGGCACGAAGCCAAGTTCTCCTCTATTTCCCCTCAGGCCCAGCGATCACTAGCTATTTTGACATCTTTTTTTCCTGCTGGTGCAGTTGATTGATTCCCATCTTCAACAAACCCCCATATCCACATCATTAGTGTTGGATATAACCTCCATTTTGGATGGTCAAATCCGATTCTTTGTTGCTTGTGTCACACAATTTCTGATGGTAAAATTAAAATGTTTGGTGCTAAAATCATCACTTTTCATCGTAAAACCTTGATTTCGATGGCTAAAACCACCACTTTTGGCTGATGAATGGTTAAATCTCTACATCTTGCTGGGCTCCAAAAATTTTTCTGGTACATTTTTCGCGGCAATTTATGTATCGTGCCAGTGCTGGTGGTGCTCCAGTGCTGTTGGGTCCCGGAGGTGCCCTCGGCTGATTTTACCAAGGAATTTTTGTGTGTTTTTTTTTTCCATTGCCCTCTGGTAATTTTAACATAGGGAAAATCACTATCTATATCAATGGCAATGGACATAGTCTATATCTATATCTATCTATATCTATCTATATCTATCTATATCTATCTATATAGTCTATACTAAGTTTTTATGATCTATGGGTCAAAAAAACCTGTAAAGAAATTGAGATTCGACCACCAGAAATGGGGATCCGCGGCCAAGAAAGTTGTGATTTTTCTGTACTCCGAAATGGATGGTTGACCCAAGCATCAGTCTGATGCTTTGATACGGCAGGATTCTAGCACGAAAAATGGAACGTAAGGGGTAAGTGTCCCAAGAAGCACCAAGAGATGGAGGACAATCAGTACTAATTAATGGGGAATTCACCAAGGAATAATATTAGATATTGTGGCGATGTAATGGAGGTACAATTAGGATAGTATGGAGAATACTGACCCATAGCCCATATTTATAGCAGCATCCAAATTTCATGGCATGTATCAATTTCTGGACAAACAGTGCTATTTTATACAACCATGAAATGGAGGTCAGTTACATGTCTATTTGGCAAGATCGGTTTCTCCGAAATCAGGGGCAATCTATTGCCATCAGATAGCGGGAACAGTGGAGTTTTGGGGTACCACGGGTACCACATCTTCAGGTAGTCATGGCATCAAATAGCTCACAAAAAAATGTACCATAGGAAGGTCTGCTATTTTTGGCGTTGAAGATCACGTATAGCTGTAAAAAACGACTGCGGTAGGCCCGGTAGGCCCTTTCCTCAGCTTCGTTCTGCCTTGGGGCCCCTTTTTCAGCTCAATCAACGGATGATACAGGGGTTCCACTGCAGGCATGGTCGAGCACCAACGCAAGGTGGGGAGAATCCATGGGTTGGTCAAGGCTAAACGGGGAAAATTCGTTGTCCGACAGCCATTTGATGCTGGGGTACTCAGTACACCAACAGGGCTGGAAGATCAGCATGAAACCTTGGGGTACTTCGTGCTTCGGCATTTAACACTTTGTTTACTTGTAGTCATACAGCAATAATAGCAATATCATGATGGGGTATGATGTATATCTATCATTGTTCATGTTTACTGTGTTTACCGATATATCATTCATATAGTGGTGAGACCAGGAAGGACTTTGACTGAACTCTTACTTTGTGGCCTTTGGTGGCCTTTGTGGCCATAGGCCCCAGAGCCATCATCATGGAGCGGCAGGTGATGAGTCCAAATGAGAAAAGGGAGATGGATTTGATGTGCGCCTCCCCAGCTTCGCCATGAAGCTACTGACTTGAGGTTGATTTTTTTTTCTGATGGTCCTAAAAACCGAGAAAGAAGGACGGCTTCAAAACATGCGTTTTTCAGTTGTGTGTGCCTTGGTCTCGCCCAATTTGAGAATATAGATATAGCTTGTGGGAAAAGGATATTTTCAATGCATCAAAGGCAGTCAAACAGCTAATTTGGTCTCAAAATGGTCCGCAAGGGTCAGCATTCCAGTGGTTTCTGGTCAGAAAGTGGCACCTGAATATGCAACATTATGCCACCCCATTCATTGAAGCGAATCTCATTGGATTTTCACATGAACAGACAGCAGATTCCATCGATCGTGGTTGATTTGATTGGCGAATATCTGACCATTCTGAAGTTGGCGGAACCACAGAAGTTCTAGAGCCATGGGATGAATCAAGTGGCTAACTTACAACCGATCTAGCCAGCTTTTTCAGGCGCCTTTCCACAGGTTCCACTCACCATGGCCCGGAAAAATCCAAGTCTTCCCAAATCTTCCCAATAAATCCAGGTCTCCATCGATCTCCCAATATTTCAACGTCCCCACAGGTTGAAGTATCAGGGTCGGGGAAGCCGCACCGTGTCTGGCAGCTTCGAAGCTGCGAAGGCAAAGAAGGCAAAGAAGGCGCCGGGTTTTTGTCACGTGGCGTGACGTGAGGTTGGGGGACGACATTGGGAAAGTTGTCAGGATTCTTTTTTAGAAACACAGAAAAATCACAGGATCAGTTGAGTCAATTTTCAGTGAACTTGAGATGATGGCATGGACCGTGAAATTTATGAGTGGCCTGAAATTCACGGCCTTTTTCCAACGGATCAACGGATCATTTTTCTGGGATGTACTGAAGGTGATCAACGTTACGACATTGTGGGATGATCCTCCAAGATGAAGATTGGTAGATGTTGGTAGATGGCATGGACATTCATTTTTAAGGACAATCTGAAAAGTGACAAACATTTTCTATAATTTAAAGATATTTTAAAGATGATATTCCTAGCTTTGAACCACTATGATACTATGATAGGATATGAAAGGCATCTTGAAATGAAATCGTCCAACATGTCGACGCCGGTTTCAGGCTCGTCAGACGCAGCGCAAAAGTGCGAAGGTGGGCTCATCTCGGGCTGGGAATTTCCCATCAAAGGCATGACCAAACCATAAATGATTGCTGAAATTTAGAGAATCACCCAATAATTTGTGAACATTTCCAGGAACTTATGTAACTTATGTAAACTTATGTAAACTTTAATATATTGTTGATTCAAATTCTACTCATCTAAAATTATCAGCAGCACGTGCGCTAAGCCCCCACAGGTATTCCACTACATACATTCTCACGGGGTGTTTATAGGGTTCCTTTGGGGTTTCTTTCGTGTTCATTTGGGGCTTCTTTAGGGTTAATTTAGGGTTTCTCCTAGGTTTTGCCAGGTTTTTTTTTTAAAATGGGACGAAAAAACAGTTTTGGGGGACAGCAGATGACCACCGCAGGGGGTCATGAACGAGGTCTGTGGGTTCGCAAACCCGACAAGCGTCCCAAAAGACTCTGGGGCATAGCACAGCTGGCCGAAAACTCGGCATGTCCGATTAATATTTGTTTCTATGTTTTATGTTCCAGAACAATTGGGAATTTCACACTTTGCATCTGAAAAATAGTAAATCATTTCTCACTAAATGGGCCATCAAAAAACCATAGACAAGTGGGTATTAAGCCACAATATATGTCTGGGTCAAATTGGAATTTTGCCCTCTTGTAAGCTAGCATAGATGTGGAATTTTGCCTTCCTGTAAGCTACCACCATGAATGCAGATAATTTTCTGAGCAGGAAGCTGGTGCTTTTCCAGATCTATGTTAATTTACCTGGGTAATTTCACAGTTTCGTACGGAGAATCACCATCTTCGAAAAATGTCAAAAATCATTTCTCATTATATAAATGGGCCATCAAGAAACATCAAGAAACATCAAGAAACATCAAGAAACATAGGAAAATCATGGAAAGTCTATCAAATAACCTTTGGCAATCGACCATGGCTGGAGAATCCCCCGGCAGTTCGACCGTGGATTTCCCAACGTCGAAGGTGACACGGGAGATCACATGATTTTTTCCCCCAAGTCAGAACCATTTAGGATAGAACATGAAGAAATCCCACTATCTCCCATGATATCCCATGAGATCCCATGAAAATCCCAAGATTTCTCCATGAAATCTAAAGATTTTCCTATGAAATCCCATCAAGCTATATCCCATTCAACCCAAAAAAGTCAATGAAAATTCCAGCAGATCATTTGTTTCTCCCATCCCAAATGTCATTATATATATATATATATAGAATCTGAACAATGATCGCAGGTTGAGGAGACCCCTGAGGTCGTCTGCTGAACGGGAGATTTCATGGGATATGATGGAGTATATTATAAATACATATGGATATATATGTATATATGTATATATATATATATGTGTGTGCATATTATATATATAGTAACTATTTTGCATACATATGGATACTTATGTTGTAACATTATGTGTGATGTGTGTATATATTATATATATAACAATGAATGAGATGGTCTCGCAAACGTATTCATGGATCGAGTTGATGTAATGTGGGATAAAACGCTGACAACAATGGGTACGTAATGCGTACATAGTGGGATATGAGCAGCAATTCTTGGGATAGATGGGTGTGTCTGAAAATGGCTAGTATATCCACATGTTATGGCAATTTCAATGCGGAAATGATGAGAAATAAATGGATTGAATGGGGCACACTATTTTTCAACACACCCTCACAGGGAACGGACTGGCTGTCAACATTTGGGCAATGTGTTGCCCAAAAGATTTGAGGAATGGCTCGAAATTATGCCCGAAAATGGGAAGGTTGCCAAACCAAAGAGGCTTCTACGAGCCTAACCATTTGATGCGTACAGGACATACCCATACTTTCCGTACCTGCTGGTGTGTGAATCTGAACACGTTGCAATAGTCGTCTAACAAACCAGCAACCCAGCATTTTTGGTGGTTTAAATTCAGCGTCTTTTGGCAGTGAAACTGCTTAAAAACTCACAATTTTGGGCTGGTGAACATTCCAGATTCTTGGTTGTTCAACCCACAGATTTTTGATGCAAACAACGGGTCGGCCCTAGGCCGACCCGAACACGCTGCAGGTTGATGCCTCGTTCCAGAAGATGGCGAATGAGCTGAGTGTGGTTGAGCTGGAGGTTGGTTTCATGCATTAAAATTGGTGAAAAAAACAGCACGGGACTGAATCATTTTGGGAGAACTATGGGACTGAATCAAAAAAAGGGTATATTTACGGAGATTTATTATCAGATATGACGTTTTTTGCGTTTTCGAGATGGGATTTATCGTCAGATATATGATCGCGCTGATGTTTTCCATGTAACTCCCCAAATGAAACCGTGCCGCGGAATCGAGGGGATGGGATGCCTTGCCCATCTCTCTGGTGAGGCCATGATTTTGAAACCCGACGGCAAGGCTGGAGCGATCTCGGACTCTTGTTCTCAGCTATCGGTGTTTTAGCTTAAAGGTTGGTGGTTCTGAGATTTTTTGGAGAGTTCTCAATGAGCATCCCAAATTGTGATTTCATGAAATTCATCACCTAACATTTCCCATTTGTAGGAATTTGGTCTCCCATCCGATGAAACTCCCCAAGTCTCGGCCTTTTACAGTGGTGGAGGCGAAAAAGGCCAAGAAGCCAAAAGGTCGCAAGAAGAAGGTGCCAAGGGGTCAACGGACTGCTGAATCCAAAAAGGTGTTGCTTCGCTATTTTTCATGGAGCTCCGAAATCCAAAGTTCGTTTTCTCAGGGAACAAGGGCTCAGTCACTTACTTCAGTATTCCAGTTCCAGTAACCAGCAACCTGCCGTGAGGCCTTTCTGGCTGAGGACCCCGAGGCCGGAGTCATCGCGGCCGGCGTCGGTTTTGCAACTTTTAAAGGAACGATCCTTTTGTGTCGTTGGTTTACCCGGTTTACCCCATATTTACCAGAACAGCAAGCTATTGCTGTAAGAGTATATTATGTATAAGCATCCCCCCACAAAAAAAACTGCATCATTAACCCGCCCAATATATCAGTAGTCTACATAGGTCCTTGCTCATCCAAACAGCATCATCACATGTTTTTCTCGGGGGGCTTTGAGAAAATGTTTTATAGTCATGGATCATACAATGTGGGCCCCCCAGTTATAAATTTGTTTATAAACCCCAGTAACTATAGTTACTTGCGTACCATAAACCATAGTTATTGGAGTTATAAACCAACTTAGCTATCTAACGGGGGCCTCACTTTGTAGCTGGATTGTTTATTTCATGGTTAAAAAATCCCAAGAAAAAATTAGGATGATCACCGGGGGGGGGTACCTACCCGCTTCGCCCATGACTTAACTGACCAAAACATGAGATGCTCCTGGCTGGTTAGGTCATTGATCTGCAAAAAGATGGAAAAAAGGGGTCCCCGGCTCCCCTGCCTCATTTAACTTCAGATGTTTTTTTTTCACAATAGATTCAATAGATTGCTATTATCCAAAAGCAAAAGTTTCAGGGGCTGGGAATATTCCAGGGCCCTGGAAGATATGGATGAAGTTTCGACCCAAATCAATGGAGATTCCAGGATCCAACAGATGGAGGTACGTTAGTTATATATGTTTGGCCATATTTTGTGGGGATCTCCTCTGAAATTCAGGCCTTATATAGGCCTTATATATGGTAGGTACCTCCAATTTAGGATCCTGAAATGGCCATTGACTATATGTAATTCAACCAGATTCTATGATTTCTGGGTATAAGTGTACGTATAGTTAGAGTCGGGTAACTATATTCCTTATATTCCCATTCTACTCCCATCATATCCCCATGATATTCCCATGAAAAACCAGTGTTTTACACAGGGTTGATGATTCTAACACTATTTACCCTCTGGTAAACAAACAGTTCGCTATTGAACATGGCCATTTACAGTTTTTTGTTTTACCCATAAAAAATGGTGATTTTCAACAGCTATGTAAACGTTTACCAGAGGGAATCCTATAAAAATAACTCTTAGTTGGACCAATATAACCATGTTCTAACAATTATTAACCATTACTATTACTAACTATTGATTAATCATTATTTATTGACCAGTGATTAACCACTATTTTTTAACGGTTGACCCAGTTGTATCCCCCGAAAAAATCCAGAAAGTTGATCCAGAACTGAGACCCCCGTGGTCCAGCACCTGGAGTGGGTAGGATCGCATCATGCCACCTCGGTAGTGCGGTCATTGTGGTTTAGATCACCCAGTGATCTGGGGATGGGTCAAAACCCTGGTACCTAGTGAAGCCCAAAATAGCTGGTAAATGGATGTTCATCCCACTAAAAATAGGTATCTATAGGTATTGGCCCATAGCCATCTTTCTTCCTATGACCAGGTCCTTTCCTTTTTTGAGGTCGTGGAGATCCCGGAGCTTGTGAAGGTCGAGGTGACCGAGATGGCGACGGAGGAGTCCGAGGACGTTCCCGTGGAGGTTCCCTTGGAGGAGCCAGCCGTCGAGGTGTGGTGATGGCAGTGATGGGAGCATCTATATTCTCGATTGAGGGACAACGAGCTACCTCAAAAGTATAGGTCATTTGAGAGGAATCTCCCTAATTTTCATGATCTCAAAATGAGTTAATCATGAACAACCACCTTTCGAAAGCTATTTCTTGTCGACCAAGCACCTCTCCGCTCCGTCATCTCCCGTCCAAGAAAAGAATCCTATCATTCCGAGGTTGTTGAGGCGACAAATGAGGTCAGGGGCCTGGACATGCCTGGACTATTGGATGATTTTATTACCCTGTGGTGAACATCAACCTGAGGCAATTCAATCTCTGAACATCAATGGTTTTCCCTGGGACATGGTCTAGAAATGTTGGATTTCCCATATCACATTGATCACATTGCCTCTCTGAACTGCCAACCTGAAAGAGGAGGAAAATCTGCGGCCTTTCCCCTGATGCGATGATCTTCCAGTTGATTACTAAAGAATGAGTTGTTGTTTATCAATTTTTCTACTTATGTACATATGTACATGATTGTACATGCATTTAGTATTAGTCTTAATTAATATTATTCTACTATTGAGCCATATCCCTTTCGATGTGGAAACAGTTTTGATCCAAGGGCGACGCCAAGTCGACCGAAGAGACAGCAACTGCCAGTCGCGAACTCAGCTCCGACCCTGGCGGTTGGGACCTGGATTCCCGAAAAAAAATCCACAAGTAATATGATTGGGAGAAGGGATGGTTATGTAGTAGTTCATGTAACTTCAATTTTGACCTTATATTACATCCATATATATATATAGATATAGATATAGATATGTATATATGTATAAGTTTATTTATCTATTTATTTTAATATGCATATATATATATACACATACATACATATACATAGTACATAAATGCTATACCATATAAATGATATACCATTAAAATAATATAACATATAAATGATGTGTATATATATATACGTATATATATATATATCAGTTGGTCATCCTGACCCCCTACATTTCACCATCATTTCATAACAACATCAAACATATCATCAAATTACACAAAAATTAAGAACAACCTGACAAATAACATCATCAAATCAAAACAACACCAAACATTTCATCAAATCTCATCAGAATTTCAACAATATTATTCTCAACTTCTCCACCTCTTAGAAACCCCAGTTCAAAACATCAATTTTCCTAAGATAAATTAATCACAATATTCCCAAAGAATTTGTGCGAAGGATTTTTTATTGTTCAAAGTTTATTGTGATTGAATGTTGCATTGGGTTTAGTTCTTCTGGGTCAAAAATAAGATTTGTATAATATTCTTTACCAGTTTTCTCATCAACAATACATTTGATTTTAGAAAGAGGTATGTTCAACAATTCATTTTGAAATTGATGTATTGTGATGTTCTCCTCTCTTTTTTCTCGTAGCCACTCTTGAAATCTTTTGCGGATTTTCAGTTTATGAACAACATCATTTTCTTTTAACATGATATAGTTCTCACAAATAAAACCATACACGCAATGGTATGGAACATCTGGAAACGCTTTATATAATTCGTTTGCCATTCTAATATAGTATGGCATTGTTCCTTTAAATGTATTTACTATAAATAAATCCTTCACACTATTCCCCAAGAAATTTTGAAGGATTTTTTTATGCCCCAAACATCCTTCACCATCTCATGACATTGGCCACCTTACACCCTGCAAGGATGACCTTACGCCCCTGCAAGGTTTGGATTTTTGAAGCTTTATCAAAAAAAACAGCTTGGGGAACTTTGTTGGGGAACTTTGCCACCAAGAATAGTTGTTTTCAAAACTCATTTTTGACAGCTCCAAAATTCACTCTAGGACAATGAGCAACTCACTTTAGGACAATGGTAGGCAAAACCTGCCTTTAGGCAAAGGGAAACCCTGCCTTTGGAAAGCGTGTAAAGGCAAACTACGCCTTTAGGCAAAGGCAAGTTCTGCCTTTGGGCAAGGGCAACGTGTGCGAAAAGCTTTACCACCAAACAAAACCTGTCTAAATATTTTGTCTAGAATATTTAGATAGGTTCATCACAAAATAAATGGTGAATTTCACTTTTCATCAGGCCAGAAATAATATTTGCCATCATTGTCTTTTGCAATCTTGAAAAACTCCAATGTTTGATTTTTAGGGTTTTTGATTTCCCCTTTGTTCAGCATATCCAAATATTGCTTTTGTTTGCTCGTGTAGTCTCCACTTAGGACGGCCCAACCCATGCTCTTCAGGTCTCGTCGCCATTTTGTTTTTGATTTCATCCACATCATCGTGAATAGTTTTCATCATTTTTGTTATCATATTCACTTTTGAACGTATTTTTGTAAGTTTCTCATCCTTCTCAACTTTGCTTTCAGAACTTTCTGACATATATATATATAATACCAGAGATTTTCTAGATATTTATTTATTTGCATATTTAGATATTTATTTTTCAGTCCATATCATGTATTGCCACTTGTTGTTTCTTCCTTCTATGATATTCTGTTTTGTTTGCGAGGACTTTGTCTCTGTTTTCTTGAGCATATTTTCTGACCCTTTCTAAAACATGTTCTTTCTTTCTCAAGCAATATTCACATATTCACGGTTTTCATTTTAATTTCATTTTTATGCTCTTCATTGTATTTTCTTGCTTTCTCTTTGTATTTTTCTGGGTCTTTATCGTAATATTCTTTTCTGTATGCTTTCAATTTGTCTTGGTTTTTTTCAGCATACTTTTTTGTTTTTTTTAAATCACTGACTGCTTTTGCTTTCTTGATTTTATCAGCACAGTCCACTTGATATTCTTCAGTTGTCCTACCTGCTACTTTCTGATTTAAACATGCTTTTAGTTCTCTCATCAATTCACCTTCTCTTTTCTCAAGTGGGTTTGAATTTTTACAAGGGCATTCTTCAAACAATTCAATGTAACAGTTTTCAATTCCATATTTTGACATCAACGGATATATTAGTGTAGTTTGCCTATTTTTTTTTAGCATCTTGTCTATGATATGCCATTCTTTTACTCAAACTTTGACAAGTGCTTCCGAGATAAATTTGGTCATCAATATGATTTCTAATACAATAAATCTTTGGTTTTCTTTCAGGTTTATTTTCCATCCTAAAATATACTAATATATATATATATTACTTTTTTTTGTTTAAATATGTTTTCAATCCATATCATTTATTGACACTTGCTTTTTCTTGTTTGTAGGCGTTCCCATGACTTATCATTTGGTTTCTGTTTGCTTCATCTTCGCTCTCTGGTGTAATTTGCCTTCTATTGAAACTGAATGATATACTATGTAAATCACTATCTAATGTAATATTCCCTTCATCATCCTTTTTGACATTCATTGTCTTATCATTTTTAGTGATTTTGTAACTACAGGGAGAACATTTACATTTTATGCCCTTGGGGTTGCTTTCAATTTCATTTCTCATCTGTAGTAGTTTGCCCTTACATAAGGGGCATTCAAATACAATGTTTTAGATGTCAATTTTTGTTCCTCATTAAGATTGACAGTAGCGGGTTCATCATCTGACAGTTCAAAGTCTTCAGGTATAGGTTGTTTGGTTTTAATTGCCTTTGTTTGCTTTCTTTGATGGCATTTGTATTAGATTTCAGGTACTCAAATATGATTTTCAAGAATTCCAGTGATATTGCACAACAGCGTTTAATCTTGTTATCTCTGATGATTGGATAGTTGTTGTCATTAACAATCCTATCTTCTATGTCATCCATAGTTTCAATGTATGTACCATATTCACTCACTACGTATAATTAGATATTTTTACAATCTAATAATAAACTATTTAGCACTGCGACGCATGGAAGGACACATGCACATGCAAAAAGGACGACACATCTTCTATTGCTTGACGGAAATTGGGGTTTGGGGGGCGAAGACTGTCTATTTCAAACTAATTAGCTACTTATGAGGGTTAATGCTCTTCTGTTCCTATGCTTTGCCGTGAGTTTCATGAACAATTTATGATACAAATTTATTTTCTAAATAATTTAAATATGAGTAACAATAGTTATATTATACCTACAATCAAACCAATCAACATAACAAATTACGAATTCAGACAGTCAAAGTTTGAGCATGTCCCAAAGTTGCCATTCAGAAGTATCATCGTTGCAAGTTCAACAGGTGGAAAGACCGTCCTTATTCAAAACTCAATCTTAAATGTTATAGAGGGGCATTTGCCCGTATCTCCTTTTTTTGTCCAAGTGTTCATTCAGACCCTACATTCAATGAAGTAAAACATACATCAGAAACGAAATGAAAGATATGAAAGTGGGTGACAAGAAGTTAATTCCAGATTATGACCCTGACGAATTGAATACAGTTATTAAAACTCAACGCAAGATAATTGATTACATGAAAGCCCGCAAACTGAACAAACTATATAGTTGCCTCATCGTAATTGATGACCAGGCAGACGACCCAAGGTTTGTAAGACACAGCAAGTTGTTACATTGTTGTTTTACAAGAGGAAGGCATCATGGTATTTCACTAATTTGTTCAAGACAATAAAATGTTTTAGCTCCTATCATTAGATTAAATGCTTCTTCCTTATACATTTTTAGATTGAAACATATTTCAGAATTACCCACATTTATAGATGAAAATTCAGCAATTGGAGATAAAGATAGATTGAGAGAGATTTACAATTTAGCTGTCAATGACCAACCCTTTTCATTCTTGTTTGTAAATATGAATGCCAAGGATATAAACCACATGTTTTACATTAGGTTTGAAAAGGTCATTCATATTGAAGATAATAATATTTGATAATATTTTTGAATAACATATTTTCGAATTAGAACAATGACATATTGCACAAATCCACTTTGGGAATTGCATAATAAAGATGTTCATTCCGCAATTGGTCAAACACCAAATGAGGCAAGGAAAGAAAACATGAATTTATATAAAGGAAAAAACATTAAATCAAACTAAATGTATCAGTCAATACAAACAAACAAAGGCTACATCCTATTTGTTGGAGATAAAGTAAACATTGTTAGAAAGAAAGCTATTACAGAGAAAGAAAGAACAAGTAATTTTTTACAAGGTGAATATGTTGTTGAGGAGATTTCAGAAAAGTTAGGGCAAACATACTATAAATTGACTGGGTTTAACAGACCTTTTATGAGACATGAGTTGGTAAAATTTGAATACCTACAGTTAAAAAGATGATTTTTCATAATTTTATTTTCAAAATTCCATGTATAGGAAATATATTTAAAGGAATATTGATACATAATATTAGTGAGATGACATTGTTCAAATACAGTGAGTGTAAATGTTGTAAATCTAAAGGGAAAGATGTTAGCTTTGCATTTTACAACGTTTTACCTGCAAATATTTGCAACAAAATAAGTGAATACAATTTATATTGCAACCAATGCTGTATAACCAGAGAGCTTGAAAAGTTCTTTCTTGAAGAACATAAAGACAAAGGATATACACAGTTTCAATTACAATTAAAGTTTTTCATGACACATCAACAAAGATTTCCAATTTGTTTTTCCATATGATTGCCAAAATATCTTTTGAAAAAGAAATTGAACAGTTCTTTAACAATGCAGAATTAATTAGAATAGAACCATACGAAGCTTTTGTCAAGAAATGGCATGATTTATTTGAAATGATTGACTGGCATGAATACAATGCAAGAAGTTTTCAATGAATTTGGAGCAAATAAATACTGTGTCTTTACACATTACAACAAAAAGTACACAATATGCTTATTAATTTGTTTTTTTCCCGAAAATATTTATGCTATAATTGGTGAACATGATATTAAATATATTGAATTAGATGATTTGACAAATGTTGTGATTATATATTTGAAGACTTGCTACCTGATCGTTATTTTGAGAGCTAATTTTAATAATTGAAAAAACCAGCCCTCACAATTTTTCTTGAAAAATATTTGTGATGAATTTTATTTTTGAATAATTTTGTTTTTGAATAAATAATTTTTTGAATAATAGTATAAAAGATCCATATATAAGAAATATACTTAAAGAAATATTGACATCTAATATTAGTGAAATGGAAGATGATATAAAAAGATGTTCAGCATGTAAAAAGTCAAAACCATTGGAAGAGTTCCCTTCTTCTTCTTCTTCTTCAAAATGTTGCAATACATGTGTAGATTATAGAAGAAGGTATAATCAAAAAAGAAAGATGAAAGAACACAAATACCAAAAAGACAGTGTGACATTTGCTTTTGCCAAATCAAACTTGAACATTGGATAATCATAACAACTTACCAACACGTAAAATTGCAAGATTTACAAGAGAGTATGAAGACAAAATAAATGTAGCAAGAGGAGAAGAAAAGAAAAGACTTGCACAATCATTGAAAGATAACACTACTGAAATCAAGAATGCAGTGAAACCTTGGTATGAACAAACAATTTTGGCAAATTGAAAAAATCCTTCGCAAAATTTCTTGAAAAAATGTGAAGAATTTATCTTTGGAAAATGTTTTCTTGGGAAATTTTGATGTTTGAACTGGGGTTTCTAAGAGGTGGAGAAGTTGAGAATAATATTGTTGAAATTCTGATGAGATTTGATGAAATGTTTGATGTTGTTTTGATTTGATGGTGAAATGTAGGGGGGGGTCAGGTCAGGATGACCAACTGCGGGGCGATGCTAGCTAGCTCTCTCTCTATATGTATATATATATGTATATACACATATGTAGATATTAGACACATACACATATGGATTCATATCCACATGAAATAGAAAAAGGAAAGGTCCGGTGTGTTCTCCAAGGTCCAGTGGCTCCTGAGCCCAACGTGTCAGAGGAACCGATGCTGCAGGCGATACAAACTGCAACATCAACCAACAAAAACTTGAGATAAACAATAGATATGGGGATACCCTCTGGTAAACTAACATAGCGAACTGGAAAGATCCACCATTTTTAATGGGAAAATCCACTATTTCTATGGTCATTTTCAATAGCTACGTTAAATTTTCCCAGAGGGTAAAGACTACAGAGAAATTGCCGTTCAAACACAACAAACAAGTATAAACAAGTCCTGTTCTAGGATTTTCACCATCCAAAAATCATGAAACTCTTGGGAAATCTGACAAGCCATGGCTGATGTACCATTCGGACCATCATCACCGGAGATTTTTTCCAGCACTTTCCATTCAATCGATGGCTTAGTTTCAAGGAACATATCAACAAATACCATGAAAAAGATATTATATAGACATATAGATATGTAACATATGTATATCAAACTCCAATACATATCAACAATACCATCAAGGAACATATATCAAAGTCCACCCAAATGATGAAACCTCTGGTGGTTTTTCTCCTTACCTCCACCATGGTGGCTTTTTGTTCTCCAAAAGATGGGGGAAGATGGGATGGATTTTTGTTGCCAAAAGGTCGACCCAAAACAAGGCTTACTCTCTGGTAAACATACAAAATTCTATGGAACATGTCCAATTTTCTAGTTGATCTAGCTATATAAAAGGCTGATTTTCCACAGCTATGTAAACGTTTACCGGAGGGTATTCAGATTTCAGGAAGGGGGATTCCCCAGCCATGTTAACAATGTTGGATTACGGAAAGGTCTTTTCTTGAGCTTCTCCTTATTTCTGCTGCTTGTCTTAGTTCTTGGACTATGTATAAATACTATACCTCCCTCCCTCCCTCCCTCCATACATACATACATACATACATACATACATATATATATATATACACTTACACCATATCTATGAATTTTCTACGGATCCGACATGTCAGGTTCGCAGCCGACGCGGCCTGCGTAAGCGACGGAGGAAGGCCTTGCTTGAGGCCCTGTGGGGTTCCCTAAGTCATGGGGGTATCCCAATAGCTGGATGGTTGATGTCATGTAAAATCTATCTACAGATGGATGATGTCATGAGCCCTCTTTTAGAAAAACCTCATTTGGGAGATATGGAAGATTTTATGTGACTTCTAAAGTTTTGAAGCTTAATGTGAGATTTTTGGCGTGTCTGAAATTGGGGGTATACCCCCCGGATCCCGCCCAGTTTTTTTTAAAGAAAACTATTTTCAAACTTAGTGGATCTACTGTAATACTTTGAAATCATGCACATCATTAGACTATCCGATTCTTTTAAACCATGCTTAAAATTGACTTCCCCATTTTGAGAACTAAAGGGGAAGATCATGAAGAAACAACCAGGATAGGCATAGGACATGACAGGAGATGTATGTACATATTTTCATCAATACCGGCCGCTGTTTCTGTATGACTCAATATCCCGATCTATGTCAATATCTATAGTCAGCAATGATTGGGTATGGGCCAACAAAAAGGTCCTCATGTTCTGTAACCATAACATACCATCATTGTTGTTACTATGGTTATCTAATGTTATAAATAAACATCATAGTTATATTGTTGCTAATTACTATGGTAACCGTAATTGTTGTTATCACATATATATATATATTAACATATAACCATAACATATCATATAGCTGGTGAAAGGATGTTTATTCCTCTAAATATGGTGACAATGGATTTAAACCCCGCCCCATACTGTAAAGGTCATTATTGTTGCTATGGTAATAGTCCTATCTGAAAGCACCTGAACCAGTGACTTGCTGTGGTGAAACCCATGGTTTTTTGCTGGCACAA